CATTGGTGAAGTTTTATTTCTACCCACTGTAAAACTACTGAGATATTAATTGCTTGGACAGCAAACGTTCTCCTATGAAGCTTGTCTCCCATTGATTATGAGATACTCTTACTGAGATTAAAAAAAAAAAGGTAGTAGCACTGATTTCTGAGAAAATGCAAAAACCAAAATGCTAAAACGTGTCCTTGTCAGCTTCTTTTCAATTTTATCCAAACCCTAATATCGACAGAAGACAATTGACCTTAAGAAAATTAATTCAGCTATGCTGATAACTGAATCACACAACTCACAAGCGGTGTCATAAATAGCAGTATTCTGAGAATAAACATTAAAGTGATAGAGGCTGCTTTAGGTTATATGAACCCTCCCTCTTCTGAAAGAGAATGTACACAAGATGTCCATATATATAAATATATGGAAAGAGTCCCAACTGGAATATGACATTTAAAACCATTTCCCCTTCCTAGAGAGGAAAACACAGGGAAAGCAGGCAGGTTGGCTGCTTGGTTTTAAGTAGTCAAAGCCAAATAATGATTTGGGGAGTGACTTTGGGTTTTGGGCAAGGAGCTAGTTGAGGTTTTTTGTTTGCTTGATTTTTAAGTATTGGATGGTACATAGGCTGGTTTGAATCTTTTGTCTAGGCACAAGTGCTCTTTCTGTGTCACAATGTTTTGCTTTATTTTTTTAAATAAACATCGCAGTTGTGGCAAATATTTTAAAACTAGTTACATCTTTTTGTGTTGAATATTGGTAGGGTTTTTTTTATTTATTAGACTCCTTACTTGCATAGTAAAGAAATAGCCCATAAATTTGTCATATATTTTTTCCACTTTGTGCCTAGTAATCTTCTATTTACTTATTCATAATTCAAAGGTTTTTCTTTTGTTTGGAATTTCTTATTTAGGCCTTTTAATTTACTATTTTAGAATAACTCTCTCTCGAAGTATATTTAGCATGCGCTTACTTCAGAGGGAAACATGCAGATTTTTGCAGCTGCCCTCCTTATGGCCTTCCCTCTGCCCCCACAGTAGGCAGGAGAATATCAGGCTGGGAAAATGGAGACGTACCAAACCACATTTCCCTGCTTCTAGTGAAATGGAAGCGCGTTCTTGCGGTTCGCACAAAAAAACCTGCGTATCGCCGAGGAAGGCTCTATTTGGGCCATGCCCCAGGGTGAGATGGGGCAAGAGCTCATGGAGGAGGGGGGCCTGCCCTGGGGCTCGCCTGCCAGCGAGGCTCAGCTCTGCCTCCCTGTCGCTATCGACTCCCACACGCACGTGTAACACCACGAGGGAGACGGAGTTTGGCAGGTCGTGGGTAAGATGGCACTGCAGAAGGGGAGAGGAGCTATCGCAGCGCTGCAGCGTAGATACGGGCGTAAAGGGCCAGTGTAAGCAGGGAGGCAAACCAGCAAGTTTTGCATATTCTGGATTAATTTTGACAGACATAACGTCTTGTGGACGGTAGCTGAAGGGAGCCTGTTGGAGATGCAGATCGCCCGTAGCATGAGCTCATGCTGCGGTACCCTGCGCCTTTTGTGTTTTTGTGGTACTCCTCAGTTTGACTTGGAGGCACAGTTTTCCTGTTTCATGAATTATCAAAAGCCTGTTTTGGGGCATCTTTCTTCATTTTTGTCCAGTGCTTTAGGATTTGGAAGAATGTGTACGTGCGGTGACCTGAAGAGCGGCAGCCCATATACCACCATGGGGGAAGAGAGAGATTTTCAAGCAGCCACCTTCTGAGCCTCCAGCCGCAATGGAGCAGACCTTCATTAGCAGCTTGACCCCTCGTCACCCGTCAGCACGAAGGATGGGCATATTGTATTAGCAAAGCCCGCTCCTTCTTTCCATGACGATTCTGTAACACCACCTGCCATTACATATCCCCCTATTATACCAGTTTAGGAGTTGTGCACTGAAGATTTTTGGCATATATTAGCACTTCCATGTGATTGGCAGTGTACCACTGAATTCATTGCAGCTCTGCATCTCCATGGGTGTAGCTCTGTAATTCAGGGCAGCATTTCCCAGGGTTTATCTGCATTTCGACCCTTCTCATGTCTAGAAGTCCGTTACCTTTCTGTCTGTTTCAAGCAGGGGAGGGGTGAGCACACGGGTGAAACAAGCTTCAGAAAAGTTAGTGAGAACTGATATTAATGAAACTATTTTCTTAGCACTGAAAGAAGGTGGTGTATGGAAAGTTGCGTGCGCTGCACCACCTGACTGCAAATAAAATGGGGAACTGCTTGCTTTTTGCTTCATAAATTGTTTTTATCAGAATAATTTCCTTGTAGAGGATGTTTGTATGCTGGCTTCTGTGAAACACCAAATAAGTGAACTAGCTCGTGGTTAAGCAACCAAAAAATAAATGGTCGTGGGCTTTGAGAGTGTAGAAATACGCATTCTGACAAGTCATCCTGGTTCCCGTTCTTCTCTGGGTTTGAGTGCAAAGTGTCAGTCTGGTTTCCGCAGGCTCTGCGCTGCGCTGGGTGTTACGTGATGGTCCCGGCTGTGTTAACTTTCCGTGGACTTCAGAGCCGGCTGCTGATGTCACCTGGAAAGGGGCACAGTCTGAAAAACACCTGAAGTCCAAGCCGCTAAAGGGGAAATACTGAGGGAGGTGGAACAGGAGAGCTCCTCTCCGGGCCAAGCCCCGGTGCTTTGACAAAGCCCCAAGCTTGCCCAGGAAGGGAGAGCGAGACTGATGCTTGGCAGAGGCGGGTGGCGAGCGAGTCCCCCTGAACGCTTCAGGCGCATCTTCACGCC